ACGTGTCACTCGCCTAGCGAGCCAGCGATACAATCGTTCGTACGTAAAATAAAAAAGACGTAGCAAGGGCTAAGTTACACGGTGTTTCTTTCTTTGTCTTTGTTACTCGACTCACTGCATTGCAGTCGAAAGCACACTTCGGGCTAGTACTCTAAAAGATTTACATGTGCTCAATGGCATATGGTGCACGCACCATGAAAACACTATGCGTAATGAAAGATGTACGTGCTTATGCACGCGCGTATATTATACATGCATAATTATTTGCTATCATGATGTTTATCTAACCGAGATCGGACGTATAGAAAGCGACCACGCCACGGTCCAGGAAAAAAAATAAACAATTGGACCTATAACTCGCATTAGACCACTGATCCAGTTACGTGAAAGTAAAAGTGGCTGCATTGCGTGCTCTCTAGCCACCTAATGAACTGCGGTTATAAATGTGTATTTTATGGACGCTGTTAAAGAAGGTTGCCGCCAATTATATTTCGTTATGAATATGTGAAGACCATGCACGAAAAAAATAAAGAGAAGTATTTCGATATGAAACGAAATGAAATGAAAGATATAAATCTTTGAAAATAGATGATAAATTCACAATATTTTGTAAGAAACGAATAATACTACTATAATTCTTATGTTAGTTTAGCTATATCAATATTAATCCGCACAAGCAATGTTATTAATATTTCTGAAATGTTCAAAAAGCTAAAAAAAAACACATATTCAATCCCAGAATCGAATTAAAAGATGAGATTGATTGACGACATATTGAATTTTTAAATTGCTCCCCCCTAAAAGACGATCATATTTTACACCTGTGGTCTTTATATACATATAAACGAAAAATAACAAATAATTTACTGTTCGTTGAATCCTCGATACCTTGTTATAAATTTGCTCGGTTTAAGAATCGAAAGATTGTATTCACATTCGATGGATACTGAGTTGAAAAACAAACCATAAGACATACCTGAACCGCGAGATGAAAACAAAAACAACGTATTATTTCATTCAGCGACAGCTTTACGATGTGTTCAACCTTCGACGGTCGTTTTACAGGAATTGTATCCTTGGCGACACTAACTAACAAATTCGATCGAACTTTTCAAACTGTCCCGTTACATCTTATGACTAACTTCGCGAAAAACATAACCACTTCGCTAGAGAATCGCGAGTTCGATCTTCGTCCTATCGATAAACGAACGACAGCCAACCGACGCGTTCCAATAAGAATCGTTTTACCGCGTCTTCTGTTCCACTAATAAAACAAAGCATATCGCGTAAACAACACGCAACACGGATTCAAACAACAGAGACTCAATAGATTCACGATTATGCTTTTCCGTTTCGAATCATTACACGGAAACAAGAACCAGCACTGGTTGTTTTTCAACCCATCGCGCCTTTTCCATTGAGTGGTAAAAAATAAATTTAAGCTATTACTGAATAAAATTATTTTTGTTTCGAATATTGTACTTTTCACAAGTATAAACATCACTTTCTATGTTCTTCGTAATAGACTGTGGATGTTTATGCAATTTTATATTTCTATGAATATAACTAAAAGAATAGGATGTAAATAAAACTTTGTTTTGTCCACTGACAATGTCATGTGCATTCTGTAAATTTTTGCACCCGTATATTCTCCAAAAACGCATAAAGATCCGATGGCCAGTTACAAATAAGAAGCACAGGAATACGCCCCTGATCGATTTCATTATTTATTTACTAGAACTGCTATATGGCCCACTATGCAGTGTATTAATGCGCTTTTCGGATCTCCAAAACGCGACGTGACATGTCAGCTAGCCGGTGGCGGTCGTTGCGCGACAAGGGCAACCAAGAAACGTCGTACAATCGTAAATAACTATGATTGAACTTACCTCTTCGGCGAACTCAAAATCTCCGTCGAATTTTCGTTTGCACCTCGCCTCGCTGACTAGAACCAGTAGCATCGTGGCCACGAACATCCAGGAAAATCGCATGGCTCTTGATCCCGCGGGAGAGCACCGTCCACCGTGAACCAACGAAACGAGGAGACGCCGCGCAAATTCCCGCAAAACACGTGCACCGTCACACGATTCGACAACTAAGAACAATAGAATCTGTCCGCGAAACGATGACAGGAAAACGACGTTGAAAAGGCGCGCACGTAAACTCCAACACGTTCTGTGTTACCCGTTGTATCCCGCTAAGCGGAAGCGTACAGTTCGACGGTCGAACGAGTTGTGACTGCGCGAGCTGAGTTGAGGCGACGCCGCACTACCACAGACGCGTGGCCGCCTATTGGTCGGATTCCGGCGAATGTCGAAGAGGGACGCTGGGGGCTGCGGGCGGTTACCTATATAAGCGGGACTACCCTTCTCACTCTGTTCCTTTTCCACGAGCTACGGTACAGCTACGTCTACCTCAGCGAGTCTCCAGTAGCAAGATTCGCGCGAGCGCGTGGTACACTGCGCCAGTCAATACCTCCACTTGCTCTCTCGGTTCACCTAGCCAGTATCGCCACTGAGTTGACAAGAGAAAAAAAGGGCGCGGGGAATTCGGCAGGAGGGCACCAAGAAAGAATCCAGTCCCCATCCAGCATCGGATACTCGTCCAAACTGACCTGGCAAGATTCTCCTTTCTTTTTTTTTTTCTTTGTACCGTTTTCTTTCTTTTTATTTTCTTTCCTTTTATGTACTTTCTTCTTGAACCCGCATCAGATTAGAGACTCTTTGACGAGTGATTCTAAACCAGAATCTCCTTAACTCGACACCTCGTTGCTCGAGGTTTCATTACGTTCGATGACGTATCGTGTTTTGATAGGAATCGAACCGATATTCGCTAAAATCCTTAGGGGTTTTGTTGTATTATTTGGAAATGGAGATGTAATAGGGCGAGAAAAGAATATGTACGTATTACCTGAAAATGATCTGAAGATGGAAACACCTTTCTTGTTTTCAAAATTGTGGAATTAAAAGTTCCGTAATAAATGATCCGGCTATAAATGAATCTAGTTACTTCCATTACTTTCTAGATTAATACTTGAAATTAGATGTTATAAACAATTTGTGGAAGGAATTAGATTTGACGATGATTGACATCGATTATTACATCTGTCGTTCGAACTGATACAAAAAATGGCGGGAAAGAATCGGAAGGGTGGGAGTGAAAAGTCGAGATGGACAACCTATCAGAGAACAACAGTTAAATTATTTGTCAATTGAGTGAAATCGCGCGACGAATTTCTGGAACGCCTCAAAATCGACGCCGTAAAATTAAATCGTTACCATTATTGAGCTTTTAAAGGAAAGTTAATAGTAGAATGGTGTGTATCTACGTTATGGTGGCTATACTTTCTGGAGTTACGTTCAAGATTTTAGTAATGCGGGATACAAGTGGCAGGTACTTTCTATCATTTCGTTAAGTTTCATCCTTTCTTTGAAGGTACTTAGAGACATAAAAGCAGGCCTGTATTTCGAGTAAAAAGTTGTCGTGGCAATTTGTCTTACTATTTTCTTACCGTGCAACCTGGACTATATCTTAACCCCCGCCCACTTCCCTGGCTGCTGAGCTATTTTCCTCGGGTGGAAGTGCACGGACACTTCCCGTGAGAGTAGAAACCAGGAAGACAATGTCGCGCAGACATCTCTATAAAATAGATCGCATCACCGGGAAATACAAAGGGGAGATGTTACTAAACCAACACGAAGGGGTCGCTACTTTATACATATTTGTTAAATATTGCCTTCTTTCCGGCTGTCTTGCTACGTTAACCGCTATTTGCTACAGCGGAATCTCGGGATTACGATGTTACTTGATTAATATTTCTTTTTGATATTTATTTAACTTTGCCCTCACGATGAAGAAATAAGGCTTGGTTTACAATAACCATAGTACAATATATGCTTGCTTATTTACCCATCTCATCTTTCATACTCTTTACATTTACACCAACACTTTTGAATAAGAGATTGAAGTTATAACAAAGAACTATAATATTGTACAATTCTATACCTATTCATTTTTCTCTATGAAATGTTAATGAAATTTTTTATCTTTTTTTTTTATCTTTAGAGAAGTTTAAAGAGATTTAGATATTAAAATTGTGAAATTCTGTATGTATTATTGATAGATGAGATAACTTGGTTTAAAATTGCTTTTAATATTTGAGATGGTTCGATTCCTCACTTCAATGTTAGATCTCGCTTCTCTTAGGAATTTATTGTACCAAAGGGCCAATTCGTCTCCCCGGTTCGGAGATGTGTGTCCTGCAGAACGATGTATATTCCTCGCGGCTCATATGTTTAGTATACTACGAAACAGACTCAAATGTCTCCTCAGAGACTACTTCATCGCGGAATGTAGTAACTAAACACGCATCTTCGACACGATCACACAGTATAAGTAAGATTCTCTTTATAATTAACAGCATTTGTGCCTTTATTAGATATATCAGTAATTTAATTCCAACTCAGCTGATTAGTCATCGATTTTTTAAATCTATTAATCTAAGTATAGATTTCAAGGTAATTATGTAAATTTTCACAATATAGTCTCTTCGTTCATTTCTTTTCTTTTTTTTTTTTTATATTTTCGGAAGTAGGAAATAGGTATACAGGGTTTAAGATCTTTCATAAAAAATATGAAATTTAAGTCGCAAACTAATTTATTGTATCACATTGGATCTGTAATATAACAAATTGTGGGTGAAAAATAAATTTATTGGTTTAGAATACCTTATTCTTGAATATCTATAGAAAGCCGTGTCACAACCTTTAACAAGAGTATATTTAATTCCTACTGCCCATTACATGTATGTGTACGTACAGTACAGTAACAAGAATATTTCAATGCGTGGTCAAAAAATAAGGAACTTTGTACGCATACTTTCCAATTTGATAATTACAAATTAAAATAAATAATATTTTTAAATTTAAAAGTATTAAAATAAATAATAAGATACATGTACGTTTGACTGCGCGTATAAGTTACTTGTTTCGGTACTGTAAGCACATGCAATAGCATTTAAATACTATCTATAACTATCGAATGTATTAAAACTTATGGTGTGGGAGCAATACGCGGTATTCCATTATGTGCCATAAAAACAAGCAAGTGTATGTAAGCATCAACAGATGTATTGATGTGAGAATACCCCTTTACTCTTACTTAAGATGCACGTAATGCCACTTATCGACTGAAATCAAATAGCAAAATATTTTAATAGCAATCATTTAATATCAATGTATACAATACATATAACAATCAACAACACATATAGAGAATAAGTAAATAACGAAACTTTTTTAGAATTAATATCTTGAATGTGTTTATAATTTATGTTGTAATAGTTCAATGAAGTAAAATTTATTAACTGTAAATAAATCAAGGCTGCGTGTTATTTGAAGTTAATTAAATAATTGACACAAACAAACGAATATTTGTAACTTACCAATCGGATCTACTGCTTGAGCCTCCAATGTTCCTGGAGCCTTCTCTAGTATTTCTTCTGCAGCCTCTGGAGTTATTTTGAAGGGACTGCCTATCACGGTTGTATTAGTGCTGTGCAAATTGTTTTTATTTGTGTAATTTAATGTTTGAAATGAATATTTTTGTTCGAATAAAATATTTGGGGAATTTACAAACCATGCAATTCCTCCTGCAGGAGCTTCTCGTTTAATGAGATTCTGCCAATGTTGATTTACTTCATCTACTATATGCAAAGCAAAGTCTCTTGGTTTTGCCTCCCCATTAAATGCAAATTGATTCTCTGGTTTACCATCTGGTATCTTATAAATCTTGAACCATTCAATTGTAGCTTTCATTAGACCAGGATAAAGCTTTTCGATATCAGATACATCTGTAAAAAATACCATAAATTGCTAAATAAATCAGAGTATGATTAATCTAATCATCAGCTGTAGAATCTTAATCTTACCATTCATTTGATCTGCCAAGGGGTCATTGACATCGATAACAATAATCTTCCAATCAGTTTCACCTAAAATTAGTAAAAATAAGATAACATATCTGAAAAAATAATCCTTAATTATTTATTCAATATTACACACCTTCATCAATGAGAGCAACACAACCCAAAATTTTTACCTTCAAGATCTCTCCTCTTTTGGCAATCTAATGACAAGAAGCATTTTATTAAGTGCAAAGTAAAATTTCTCATTAATTGACTTTTGAGAAAAATTCCTTACCCTATATCCTATTTCAAGGACATCAATGGGATCATTATCTCCTTTACACTCAGTAGCTTTATCCATGACGTCTGGATTTTCCCATGTCTGTTTAAAAAACATTATTTCTTGTGACTACTTTATATTGCAAAATGCCTTACAAATTTATTTATCAAAATATTTAAATAAAAGAGAAAAAGTTAATAGAGAGTATATATAAAACTAAATAGAGAAAAATTGAGCATTGTACAATAACCACTACAGATAATATGGTCTTGAACCCAGACTAAGAGTTTACATAAGCTATGATAAGACATTGTTCACACACTTGAGTGAATGTGCATGGATAGAAAAATGTATATATGTCTACACCACGCAATCATCATTCATTTTACTTCAGATTAGAGCTAATAAAATTGATGATATCATTTTATAACCATTAGAGAATGTCACAAAAGGGGAAATGCATCATCTTTATCATATTGTAATTACAGATCTCTTTGTACTCTAATTCCTCATATTGATAACCTAATACTTTGATAATAGTTTCATCAGAGGATTAAACTACCTGTGGTAAAGCCCCATAGTTCCATATGTATCCATGATGAGGAAAACAGTTGGCAACGTATCTCAATTTGCCCTTTTTAACATCTTGCTTGATAGGATTTAATGTTTCTTTAAGATTGATCTCCATCTTTGCATTTGTCCATCTTGGTATCTCAACAACCATATTCACTATTTTATTAGCTTCATCAGCATAAAGTGGAATGTCATGCATGGGTGAAATTGGGCCAGTATCATTTCCTATAATACATATAGCACATAACTTGTATATAGAAATATATTTCTTCATAAATCTGATTTTCTTTTTACAAGAGCAAGTATTCAAAAAAATACTGTAAAAAAAAATTAAAGTTTAGAAACAAGGATCTGATATATATAAATAAAATGCGCTAGGGAGTATTGGGGGAATTTAAACTGATATTAAAAGATGATAGACTTGATTTTCCAATTTTAACAGAGGAATTACGTCATACGTAATAACGTAATAAATAAAAATCATAGACAAGCGTACAATTTTTTGCGCAACACGTATTAAAAAAATGAAGACGAACGCGCAAACCTCAAACATGAGGTACCTTCAAACGGATCACCTTCAAACGGATCACCTTCAAACGGATCACCTTCAATAATCAAAATATCAAATAGAATAGAAATAACACTAGTAAAAACAGGAATGAACTATAAACATATGCGACAAATAGGAAACCGAATATTTTTCTCTCACTGAAAGCATCCGATCCTTTCACCAAAGCTAAATATCACGTTCATATTACGCGAAACTCGTTGCTATTGAAATGACGAAACTCCTACTCTAAGAATGTAAATACGTTCAGAAAAACATTGGTTTTTTCATACATTAAGATGAAAAAAAATGCGTACGAAAAAGTAACATGTTATGCACACACGTTCGAAGAAACGTGTTCCACACTCAGTATGTTAAAATATGCAGTTTCAATATTCAAGTTGAAAATGATACAAAATATAAGAGTCATGTTATGAAGAACACGAGGTCGTACGATGATATGTTCAAAAATTTTAGTGAAGTATCCGATGACGACATATTAACGGTCGTTGAGACAGTCGAAAGATCACGGTTTAGCTTTAAGGTTATGTTATTCCATACTTACTGAAATATATTCTGTAATCAGTGCTGTTCGGTGCACCCCTTTCGATCGTGGTGTATGACATTTTCCTTACGTATTTTTCAAACAGAGAACACAGTCGTGACTTACTAACAGTACCGGTCACTGCTAATCTGAACGGAGCAGCAAGTTTATTTAAACTGCGGCAACGTAACACGTGCGACGTTATCAACGACATCCTGACATCTAACGTCTATATTACGTAGCAGGATTTCTTTTGTGATAAAGTTCTGCTAATCTATTATCACTAAAATATTTTTTTTACCTCGAAGACAATGGAATGGTAGCGATCAATTTCAATAGAAGTTTTACAATATCGCCGTATATTTTTTACTTATATATCACTCTAAATTGATATTAATATCGACTACAATAGATGTGAAATTTCAATCTGTGATGTTTTAAACGGCGAATCAGATATAATGATAATCGGTAGTGAATAGTATCAATGAATCATAGTCCATAGATAATCTCTAATGCATTAAACGTAAAATACTTATTGTTATAGATAGCTGTACAAACGCACCTAGTCCAATGATATTTTGATTATTCCGCCCCTTAATCATCTATTTAAATGTAGTTTTAATTTCTACTACTATCACCAGTGTCAGAATCTTATTCTACGCACAGTTACATTGAAAATGACAAAAAAAAACGTCGGTTGCGGGTGATCGTAATACAGAAAAATATGTTACCGCAGCCTCGTCCGTACATTTTTGTATCTATGAACATACATGTCTTAGATACGTGTCTACATTCTCTATTATTGCGAAAGCTACTTAGTGATTTATCAACTATGAAAGTGTTTTCCTATGAACATTGAAACGTTCAAGGCGATACAAAAGTAATGCACGTTACGTACACATGTATCTACATGCAATAACATACGAACAGATTTAACAGTTTTATTTATTATAACTTTTTTATTTATCATCTTAGTTTGGGAATTAAAGTATTTTGTAAGTATGTGTAATCTCCCACTATACCTTTACCTCAATGGAAAGTTCTCTTACATCTAATTAAAAATGCAGAAAGGGAATATTTAACTGCAAAGTGATAAAAACTTTGAGGCTGCACGTGATTGCCTGAATATACAGAGAGATTTTAACGAATAAAAAATAGTTTTGGAAGATGGGAGACTTATCTTGTCTTTTATGCACTCCCTGTGTCCGAACTTCCAGAAGCTCTCTATCTTATGAAGTATTTTAGATTAGTCCGAAATTTGGTATGTACATACAAGAAGTATACGTTCTACGTGGAATATCTAATCAGGCTCTTGATATATCAGAAAGAAAATTTACAGAAGCTTTGCAAAAGTTGATTTATTATTACCAAAATTAATAGAAATTTAATTAATGTTCATTTATCACCTTTGTTAAGTCGCGTAACACTCTACCTGGACCGGGCCGCACACCGCGGACGAGATGGCAACCAGATGTCTTCGGATACTTACTGCGTTGCCTATATTTATAATAGCCTCAATAGTCTCAAGTCGCGAGAATTGATTGTAATTTCAA